GCCAATGTCGGGGCAGGCATCAATATGTTTCGATATACACATTTAATTTTTTCCCGTATTTTCGGCGGGTAGCAAGAGTATATACTACACGGGCAGAAAGTGTCACACTTTCTGCCCTTGTAGTGTAATATACTATTTCCACCCCCGAGCGAGGGAGGAAAATGCCTCTTTTCCTCCCCGCTTCTTTTTTTAACAATTTTACATTATCAAGAGTTTTTGTACCTTGTCTAGTCCCATTTGATTTTGTAGGAAAAATATTTACTCCGCGCTTGTCCAACCATTCTTTTTACAAACTATTCTTTTTCATATCGCTCTTTCGATATTTAGAGAAGGAAATTAATTCCAAATATTCTTGCCTTTTTAGCAAGATCTTGCGGCAGGTCTTCTTCACTAGAACGCATTTTCAAAACGTAGGAAGAATTTCAAATTTATGATAAACATTCTGACAGCTTATAAAAACTGTTATGTTTGTATTACCAAAATTACCATGGCAACAAAGCGTTGTCAACATAAGGTCGGTAACGCAACACCTAATATTTTATCATAATTTTATAGCCCCATACCGGGTTAGTAAAAGGAACCGGAACGCTTAAAATGTTTTAAAACCGTTAAAAGGTAATAGAAAAAACTATATACATACCTCAGGAGGAAAATGCGTTTCCTTCCTTGAATATTTAATGCCCTTCGCTTCGCGTCGGGCATCAAACTAATAGCAATTTAAAAATTGTAGCTGTTCCTTTTTTGAAGTTTTGCTTAATAATCCAAATATCGTCATTTGGTGATTAATTTTAAGTTTTTGCTATTATCTTTAAAACGAAGGCCTTTGGAAAAAATGTTTGAATACGGAAATAAAGGTGACTTAATTATCTCTTAAATCATGCCTCCATAATTATGCCTAAACTATTGGCCTACGAAATCCATAGACGTAGTCGTAAATTTTTTATGTTTAACTGGGTATGTTTTTTGTATTAACCTGGTTATTTTCAACATTGCAGCATCATTTTTCTATGATATAACCTATATAAAACAAAACAGACAAGTAAATACTTAATAATTGTCAAATATTATTATAATGTTATCAACATGAGAACCAGAATTAAATATTTTTTGATGGAAACTCTACAACTGCTCTTTTTAACGACTATTTTAAGTTAGGATGTGCCATGTTGTTTATATAGTATTTATTTCAAAAAATTTATAAACTAGCGGTGGACATTCTTCCAAGTGATTAATTAGTACATCAATTTTTAAAGTTTGAGATATATCAGTAGATTTAAACATAACTACTAAAGATTGTATGTGCATTTTTATTTAGTCCAAATTTGGCGTTTTGGTGGAAACATAATTCTTAACTAATTTATCCATAGTCTTAAATTGGGACACGTATGGTAAAATGACCAAAGGACTAACAGTTTTCAGAAAATCTTTTGTAAGAAGAGTTTCAGAAGCATTTCCCTCAAATATGTTACCTTGGTAGTTCTTAGAGACCAAATTCAGCATTTTAGGCCATCTCAACGCTGGTTCTTTTCCCAGAAGTTTCACTAGTGCGTTCCAAAATACGTCTGACAAGATTTTTGTATTTACTACTTGTTGGCAATTTATTGCAATACTCAAATGGTAGTATTATTGCGTGAGCGTATACCTCAACTGAACACATTACTTAGGTATATATAGTCGTCGCGGCGAATGTTTCAAATTGCGTCATCAATGTCAAATGTCAAAAACCGACTTATCGACATACGGTTCCTTGGATTATATACATTTAAGGGTCCTGCTTTTCTTAAATACATAGTTTGTTAATACATAAACCATTTACTGTTTTCGTTTCCTTTTTTTTGTGAAATATGTTTACGGCGATTAATGTGCAAAAACATCAAGTTTTTAAACATTTTCTAATTAAATAAATTATATCTCCGCCAATGGTTGCGGTTGTTGAAGCATCATTTAATAGATAATTTTGTCCTCTTTAATTCTTTAATTTAAATTTTTTCCTAAAGGGCTCAGTTTTAAAGAAATTCGCAAAAATCTTAAATAAGTCAATTACAGTTAAAATTTAAAAAAAAGGATCAACTGTAATTTTGAACATGTTTTTAAACTCTAGAGAGGGTCCTTATTCCGATAGCGCATTCAGTCTTTGGCGTCATTTTTATGCGACCTATGACTCATTCAGGACCACTGTGCGTAGCAAAGCTGCCATTTAGCTATGGGTGATTTTACAAAAGTTGGACAACTTGATGTCATCAGTCAAAAGAGTAGGTACTTTAATATTTTTTGTAAATATTTTAGTATATTACAAAAGATCCAGGTTTTTTTTAACTTGTCCACCCAATTTTAATGTATTTTTTCAAAAGCGCGTTTGTAGAAAAACATAATATATATTCAAAACATCAGTACCTTGGCGTGTCACAACTCCTGAATCAAATATTAGGGTGATTTTATTTTAAAATATATTCAATTTATCTTAAATTTTTCAATTTCACTATAAACTATAAAACATTAAATATTGTATTTTTCATATTTTATCATAGATTCGAATGATAGCAATTTTTAAAAAATTGATAATCTTTGTACTCACTTTTACCCGTCAGTTCTGTGTCTAATGTTAAAATTCATAATTCCTGCGAAATATTGAAGTTTAAACGTCAAGTCCTCGTTTTAACTCAAGTGTTGGTAAAAAATTACCTACAGAGCCCGCCCTTTGCACGACAGTCATCTTGAAAACAATGCAAGCGGCGAAGTTGTGGTGAATGCACGAATAGTTCCAGTAAAAATTTCAGTACTGTGGTGAGTAGTTATTTTCTTACCTATATATATTTCATTGTAATTTATATAAAGCTATATGTGATTTGTTGATAAGTAGCATCCACTAATAAAAAATATCAGTAAAATACTTATTTCCGAATTATAATCTCAAATTTGTATCCCATTCATCAGTACCGTGTCGTCAGTTCCATGTTCGATGTTTCGGTTATCTTTTTTTCGCAAACTTCAATTTAAATTCTGCTTGCGCAGAACTTGTTTATTTAATGTCATTATAAACTCATATAAATTTGGTGTGGATCCCATATCTAATAATTGAGATATCGGTATACCCAAAATCCACCAGCCGCCACTGATGTGTGGTATTATTTGATTTTAAGATATTTAATGTATAATATGCTCAAAGTTGCAATAAATCTTATATTTTTCAATAAATTATGTATTTAATTAGTAGCCTGGTATACTCGTCACTTCCATTGCATTCAAATTTAGAAAACACAGATACTTCAGAAACTGTTTGAAAAAGTGACTGGCTCGGTCTGGAACAGTATATTTATTATATTATCTATGTTTGCATATAGTCCAGTCATCTTAGTCAAAATAAGGTAAGAATCTCGGAATTTGAGATACCAAGCTGTATATTTGTATAAACTTTTATTTTGACATCCTAAAACTTGCCTTAAAACCTACATACTGTAAGGTGTCCGCATCTGTCAAAAATTAAGGTCAAAGGTCACAAAAATTGATTTTTTTAACATTTTCTGCAAATATCTCGTTTCCTATAGGGTTTATGCGATTTGTATTTATTATCAATATTATAGAAGATAAAATTCTCTACAACTTTTGTTTAAAAAGTTTTTTTTATACCTCGAATCGTTTTTGAGATAGAGGGCAGTGAGCGCGCAGTGTTTAACTATATAGAGTACCGGTATACCATAATAATTTATTTGTTTCTATAACTTTTTGCATTTGTTTTCATTATAAATCTATTTGTTTTTAAAACAACATTGTTGCTTTGTTGTTATAACATTTGGTAGTTCTTTTAATCACCAAAAAATATTTTTTTTTAAAAGAACTTAAACAATATTAACCTATGCCTACAGAATATTGTTAAATCAACTCTTTTAGTATGTAATACTAATTAATAAAAAGAGTTGCATTAACAATATTGTGTAGGTATAGGTTAATATTGTTTGATTTTTTTTAACAAAAATTATTTTGGTTACCGTAAATATATTTATGGTAACCATTACTAATAATATTAGTGTTGATGGTAGAGTTGATACAGTTGAAATTCAACTGGAAGACAATGATAATGAGAAAGAAGAAGAGAAAAAAAATTAAAAAAGAGTTTGTCGTTGTTTGAATAATTAGTTTTACTGATAAATGTAAGGATTGAAAATTTTTTAATAAAAAAGTTAAAATTAAATTAAATTAATTAATTTTAGAAATTTATTTCATTTCTTCATTTTTACTTATTTAAGTAATTAGTATAGCATTGATTAACATTACAAAAAATTTAGGTATTTCTCTTAGTAATTTTTAAGTACACAACCAGGTAAGTGCGATTAAATACACTGATACTTAATTAACAATAGATACATCATGAAAAAAGTTATTAACTATAATGTAATATTAAAAAAAATTAAAATTATTTATAATTATATATTTCTCAACATTTTATAAACTGTTTTTGATCGGGCCTTCCGGTTGACCTTAAATGATACTCTATATAGTTAAACACTGCGCGCTCACTGCCCTCTATCTCAAAAACGATTCGAGGTATAAAAAAACTTTTTTAACAAAAGTTGTAGAGAATTTTATCTTCTATAATATTGATAATAAATACAAATCGCGTAAACCCCATAGGAAACGAGATATTTGCAGAAAATGTTAAAAAAATCGATTTTTGTGACCTTTGACCTTAATTTTTGACAGATGCGGACACCTTACAGTATGTAGGTTTTGAGGCAAGTTTTAGGATGTCAAAATAAAAGTTTATACAAATATACAGCTTGGTATCTCATATTCCGAGGTGAAACTACTAAGATGACTGGACTATAACAAAATACTGTTTAATATTCTCCGAAAACTTTATAAACAAAATGAGGTCAAAAGTTGCCCAACTTTTGTAGAATCACCCTTATGCTTTTTGCATACATAAATAAGCTAGCACGCGTTGATATTTGGGTAGGTTTATACTATGTTCAGTAAAAACATTATATTTTAAAAAATGTTACCTGGCATTTGGATTATAAATGCAATAATATAAATATTATTTGCTTATTTTTATTATAAAACTTGGTAAAGACAAAATAATTTTAAAATTTCTTATGAAATTCGTAGTATGCATATGACCCTGTATGACACCGTCCCAATTGAAACATTTAACAATATTTCAGAGATGCATAACATGTTATAAGTCCAAATTAATATTTTAATAATCCTCAGTATGTTTTGTTATTCTTCCGAATATTATAAATACGTCAAAGTAAATTTTGTATATCACCTCGTTAGTAAATACAAATTAATTTACCGGTGACAGGTCGTTGAATAACACTCTACTTACCCTTCGATCGGCACTTTGCCTTTTCCGTGTTGCTCTAATTGATTTTAATGTCACTTATTATGCTACACCTACTATTTTTATTTTGACAAGTTTCAAGACTTTACCTACATAAATACTTCTAATATTTGTTTAATATTTTAAATAATACAAAAAAAAATTTAAACTTAAATGTTGTAAAAGTTATAATTTAAGAAAATTTTATAAATTTAAATAAATAGGTTTTAATTATATAATAAAATATTGTAAAACTCAAATTTGTAGAAAAAAATTAATAATTAGTCTCTAAAGTCTGATTTATTTACTACAAAGAATAGCAGTTATTGATAAATCACGTTTACATTTCTTACAAAAAAAACACACTGTTATAAAAATCAGATTAGTTAACAGAAGTTTGTTGTTTGTTAATTTGGTTGTCCTTAAAGTCTGATTTTTTTACTACAATTAATAGTAGTCATTGATAAATCACGTTTACATTTCTTACAAAAAACCTCTATTTCTTGAATATTACAGGACATTTTTGGTAGGCTTGTTACTATATTTTTTTGGGTATTATTATTAAAAGGTAAAGTTTTTCTCTTTGAATGGTCTTGTAACACTTTAGATGATGTTTTAACTTTCCATCAGTTTGTTTCTGTCTTTTACTTTCTTTTTTCAAATTTCTATTTAAGTTCTAAGTCACCTTAGAAAAAATATGACCAGTAAGGATAAGATTTTGATGCAGAAAGCAAAAAGTTTTTATCTAATCATCGAAATATGCTGCACCAGATTTTCACTGGCAAATAAGGTATTCAATATAAACTAAACAAAGTGACAACGAGCAGAAGAATAATAATACTTTTAACATTAGAAGTTAGGCAAGAGCCAGTGAACAAGAACATGTGGCTTGGTGAACCATGAAATCGTTAAACCATGACTAATTATGGTACAATGACTTAAATATAATAAATTATATCATAGATTTTATAATAAACAATATTTTAAGTCTGATTTTTGTACTACAAACAATAGTAGTTATTGATAAGTCACGTTTACATTTCTTACAAAAAACCCACACTGTTATAAAAACAGATTAGTTAACATCAGTTTGTTGTTTCTTAATTTGGTTGTCCTTAAAGTCTGATTTTTTTACTACAATGAATAGTAGTTATTTGAAGAAAAATAATGCTTTTAACATTAGAAGTTTTATATATAGGTAAGAGCCAGTGAACAAGAACATGTATGTGGCTTAGTAAACCATGAAATCGTCAAACCATGACTAATTATGGTCCAATGACTTAAATATAATAAATTAAATCATAGATTATATAATAAACAATATTTTAAGTCTGATTATTGTGCTACAAAGAATAGTAGTTATTGATAAGTCACGTTTACATTTCTTACAAAAAACCCACAATGAATAGTAGTTATTGATAAATCACTTTTTTGTTTCTTACAAAAAACCTCTACTTCTTAAATATTACAACTTTGGTTTTGGGGAATATTTCTAATATTTGTTTAATATTTTAAATAATATAAAAAATATTATTAAACTTAAATGTTGTAAAAGTTAAAATTTAAGAAAATTTTATAAATATAAATAAATATGTTTTAATTATATAAAAAAATATTGTAATACTTTTCAAATTTGTAAAAAATAATTAATAATTAGTCTCTAAAGTCTGATTTAATTACTCAAAGAATAACAAATATTGATACGTCACGTTTACATTTCTTACAAAAAAATCCACACTGTTATAAAAATTAGATTGGTTAATATAACTTTGTTCTTTGTTAAATTGGTTGTGCTTAAAGTCTGAATTTTTTACTACAATTAATAGTAGTCATTGATAAATCACGTTTACGTTTCTTACAAAAAACCTCTACTTCTTGTATATTACAGGAAATTTTTGGTAGGCTTGTTACTATATTTTTTTGAGTATTATTATTAAAAGGTAATGTTTTTTAGAATCTGTTTGAATGGTCTTGTAACACTTTAGATGACGTATTAACTTTCCATCAGTTATTTTCTGTCTTTTACTTTCTCAATTTTTAAATTTCTATTAAGTATTAAGTTGGAAAATATATGACTAGTAAGGATAAGATTTTGGTGCAGAAAGCAAAGAATTTACATCTAACCATTGAAATATGCTGCACCATATTTCCACTGGCAAATAAGGTAAACAATATAAACTTAATTTTGTAAACATAGTGACGACCGAGCAGAAGATAGAAGAATAATAATACTTTTAGCATTAAACGTTTTATATATAGGCGAGAGTCAGTGAACAAAAACATTTGGCTTAGTGAACCATGACTAATTATGGTCCAATGAGTTTTAAAATATTAAAATGCAAAAAATTTATTTAAATTTAACTATAGATTTTATTGCACACAATCTTTTAAAAATAAAAATGAATTATTATTAAATGTTATAATAGTTAAATTTAACGACATTTTAAAATAATAAATAAAAATGTTTTTATTATATAATAATACTATAAGTAATAATTATTAAGTACGTAAACTTTTAACATAAAACGTTTTATATATAGGCGAGAGTGAGTGAACAAAAACATTTGGCTTAGTGAACCATGACTAATTATGGTTCAATGAGTTTGAAAATATTAAAATGCAAAAAATTTAGATAAATTTAAATATAGATTTTATTGCAAACAATCTTTTAAAAATAAAATTGAATTATTATTAAATGTTATAAAAGTTAAATTTAACAACATTTTAAAATAATAAATAAAAATGTTTATATTATATAATAATACTATAAGTAATAATTATCAAGTATGTATTTTCGCTGGCAATTAAGGTAAACAATATAAACTAAATTTTTTAAACATGGTGAAATAGCCTTTAGAGTCTCATTCTTTTACTACAAGTAATAGCAGTTATTGATAAATACCGTTTACGTTTCTTAGAAAAAATCTCTACTTCTTGTATATTACAGGATATTTCTTGTTGGCTTGATACAGTATTTTTTTGAGTATTAATATTAAAAAGTAAAAGTTTTTCAGAATCCCTTTGAATAGTCTTGTGCCGCTTTGGCTCGAGTATTAATTTTGTAGCAATTTTCTTCTTTCTTTTACTTTCATTTTTCAATTTTTTATTAAATACCAAGTCACCTTGAGGAATATAAGACCAATAAGAATAGGATTTTGATGCAAAGATCAAAGAATTTTCATCTAAAAGGCAAAATATGTGGCACCATATTTCCACTGGCAAATAAGGTAAACAATATAAACTTAATTTTGTAAACATAGTGACGACCGAGCAGAAGATAGAAGAATAATAATACTTTTAACATAAAACGTTTTATATATAGGCGAGAGTCAGTGAACAAAAACATTTGGCTTAGTGAACCATGACTAATTATGGTCCAATGAGTTTTAAAATATTAAAATGCAAATAATTTATATAAATTTAACTATAGATTTTATTGCAAACAATCTTTTAAAAATAAAAATGAATTATTATTAAATGTTATAAAACTTAAATTTAACAACATTTTAAAATAAATAAAAATGTTTTTATTATATAATAAAACTATAAGTAATACTTATCGAGTTTGTATTTTCGCTGGCAAATAAGGTAAACAATATAAACTAAATTTTTTAAACATGGTGAAATAAATAGCCTTTAGAGTCTTATTCTTTTACTACAAGTAATAGTAGTTATTGATAAATCCCGTTTACGTTTCTTAGAAAAAATCTCTACTTCTTGTATATTACAGGATATTTCTTGTTGGCTTGATACAGTATTTTTTTGAGTATTAATATTAAAAAGTAAAAGTTTTCCAGAATCCCTTTGAATAGACTTGTGCCGCTTTGGCTCAAGTATTAATTTTGTAGCAATTTGCTTATTTCTTTTACTTTCATTTTTTAATTTTGTATTAAGTACCAAGTCACCTTGAGAAATATAAGACCAATAAGAATAGGATTTTGATGCAAAGAGCAAAGAATTTTCATCTAAAAGGCGAGATATGTGGCACCATATTTCCACTGGCAAATAAGGTAAACAATATAAACTTAATTTTGGAAACATAGTGACGACCAAGCAGAAGATAAAAGAATAATAATACTTTTAACATAAAACGTTTTATATATAGGCGAGAGTCAGCGAAAAAAACATTTGGCTTAGTGAACCATGACTAATTATGGTCCAATGAGTTTTAAAATATTAAAATGCAAAAAGTTTATATAAATTTAACTATAGATTTTATTGCAAACAATCTTTTAAAAATAAAAATGAATTATTATTAAATGTTATAAAAGTTAAATTTAACAACATTTTAAAATAATAAATAAAAATGTTTTTATTATATAATAATACTATAAGTAATAATTATCAAGTATGTAATAGGTAAACAATTTTAACTAAATTTTTTAAACATGGTAAAATAGCCTTAAGAGTCTCATTCTTTTACTACAAGTAATAGTAGTTATTGATAAATCCCGTTTACGTTTCTTAGAAAAAATCTCTACTTCTTGTATATTACAGGATATTTCTTGTTGGCTTGATAAAGTATTTTTTTGAGTATTAATATTTAAAAAGTAAAAGTTTTACAGAATCCCTTTGAATACACTTGTGCCGCTTTGGCTCAAGTATTAATTTTGTAGCAATTTGCTTATTTCTTTTACTTTCATTTTTCAATTTTTTATTAAGTACCAAGTCACTTTGAGAAATA